GAAATAAAGCCTTTTCTCTTCTGTGTTTATGCACATAACAATGAAGAAGTTCTCCATATGTTACGTCATTCCTAGCTTGTTCTGGCAAGTTCCAGGCATAGCGCTCCGCGGCAGTCAATCCCTGAACGCTACCAATCAACTTGATCTGGAAAGCATGGTCCTTAGGTGAGAACTCATAAATATCCCTCTCCCCCATCCATTCAAAAATCTGCAACAAGTACAACATTATAATCCAAGCAAAACCCTATCAGGACGTATCTCAAATATTTCCATTGAATCAGAAACTATGATTTCAACTATAAAAAAATTACATCAACTTTGATAAAAGTACCAATTATTCAGATTGACCATCACTTAACTACTTAGAAACACTCGATTTAGCTAGCACTATATTCAAACCTTCACACCAAAGGTAACATGCAATAAAATACTAGTCTTGTTTCATTTGGCACAGAGTGAAAAGAATGATGACGTCTGATTGCCCTGAATTCCCTTACTGGGTAGGGACTTCAAAGCTTTGAAACAAAAGAATTCAAGATGCTCACTATAAATTTGAAATTGTAGTCGAACTCTGAAGTAAAGACGATTCTAACTACTCTCTAATAAATTAAACACTTCAGTAGTTTCTCGTGAAAAAATTAATACAGAACAATTTGTGACAATTAAAAATAAATACGTAGTTTCATAATGTTAACAATTATTTAGAACAATATCATGAAAATAAAACATTCCATATAATTTAAAGAATCTCTCATCCTTTACGATTAAACTGTAAAGGGAGCCCCTTTTCTCATCCCTTGCAATTTTTGAAAATAACTTCAGTCAAACATCATAAACGGAAGCAAAAGTCTTATTTCAGAACGGATGGACCTGGTTGTTAAATACTTATTTATTGATATTCTTCTAAATAATTTTAAACAATCTAAAATGTGTATGATCAATGGTTTAAAATCTTAAAAAAAAAATCCATATTTAATGAGTGTTTTTATTTCAAAAATGGACTAAAAATCAACTTGTGTGGTGGAATTGAAGGGGTGGGGGTGTATTTGGGTCGGGGTGAGGGGTTTACCAAGGGGCTAGGGGTAAGAACCGTTAAGTTTACGAACGGGACACGAGAGTGACCCCGGGTTATCTCATGACATTGTCAGGCAATGTCATGGGAAATAATTATTAGACATTCAATATTAACCTTTAACAGTAATAAAACTAATACAAATAAAAAAAGATAGAAATTATGAAAGTATATACTCCCTCTGTTCCACAAAACACTTCCGTTTTAAGTTTTTGCGCATCTCATAAAATACTTCTATCCCACCTAAAATGTCTAAAATACTCCTAAAACAACTTCTACCCGCAATAAACTACATAGTGGGGTATATTTTAGATATTTTATGTGGGAGTAAAAGCGTTTAATGAGGTGCGCAAAAAATTAGGGCGGAAAGGTTTTAAGGAACGAGGGAGTAGAGAATGACAGACATTAAACAGTAGATGGAAATAGGGCAGAAGCTACCTGGCGACCTCCTTCAAAGATCCCCGCTGGCATGGGCATGTTTGTATGGCAGTAGCGATTCCATCCCTGTCGCGCTGCCCACTGGAAACGCAGCCCTAAGCCCAACCGGTAGAGGGTAATCATCAATTGAATTTGGACAGCCTTCCTAATCGATGGTCAGATTTCTTCAAAAAATTGGACCATCGGCAAATTGGATGCGTAGCTTGAGAATATAGAGAGTATAGACTACAGACTAGAGAGAGAGTAGCAAGAGAATAAGGTTATGTTTTGTTGGAGATAGGTAAAAGTTTTATTAGGCAGGTAATTATAGGTAATTGAAGGTAAGTAAAGTAAGGTAATAAGTTAAAAAATGAGAAGTGCTAGGGTCACAAACATTTTAGTCACAAAATACACAAAATTACTACTCCCTCCGTCCGGATTTTAAGTTCCCACTCTATTCTTTTCTCCGTCCGAAAATAAAGTTCCCAGTATACGTTTTCTAACCCACTTTTCCTAAACTACCCCTCTCATTAAATCGCCCTTCTCACCCAATCTTTTTACCCGCATCCATTATACCCTCCTGCTTTAACTCGCACCTCCTCTCCTTCCCAGAACCATTCCGCCCAATTCTTTCTCCGAACCCTAGATCTCTCTGGCCGTTCAAACCGTTCCAGAATCTGGCCTCTCTGGCCGTCAATTTCATCAACAGCGCGCCGAGATCCAGAGACTCCGCTCGGAGGGATGATGAGGAAGAAATCCGAGTCCGGAGGAACAATCCGCGGCAGAGCAGGGCGCGTTTGCGGCGGCGCTGGCGAGCGACAAAGCCGCGATGGTGCTGGAATTCTACTCCCGCAAGTGCCAACTCTGCAACTCCCTGTCCAAATTCGTGGCCGAAGTCCAGAAACGGAACGCCGATTGGCTCAACATCGCGTTCGCCGACGCCGAGGACGACCGGTGGTTGCCTGAGGTACGCGCATTTCCTCATTCCCAGCTTTTTTTTGTCTTGCTGTGTTATTAAAACTCTGAATCCTCCTCCTCCTCCTCATCCGCCATAGCTTCAGCATTATGACATAAAGTATGTTCCATGCTTTGTGGTGGTGGACAAGGAAGGGAGGGCGCTGGCAAAAACAGGGGTTCCGTACAGCAGACTCCATGTCGTTGCAGGTGTTTCTTATCTCCTTAGTAAGGGCATTCTATTCATTTTATAGGCTTAGTCAACACTCACTAAAAATTACCAAAAGTCAAACTGGGAACATATAAACCGGACGGAGGGAGTATTTATGTAATTAAATGTCTACTTTTTAATTATTTAACATTATTTTATTCACTTGGTGAGGTGCACAAATGGCAAGTTTGTGTATTTTGTGACTGGAGTTTTTGTGACTTTAGCATTTCTCTTAAAAAATTGTGTTTGAATGTTTATTAGGTAACGTGAGGTAGAGAAAGAATAAAATTACCAAAATATCCATTTGAGTATTTTGGCATCAAAAGTGGTCCACGAAGCATAAAAATACAAATTGAAAATTAAAAAAAGTCATCTATTGCAATATTGTCTTCCATATCACAATGTGAAAAAGGATAAACTGCTTCTTGCATAGTTAACTAGATAAATCAATCTACAACAATTAATTAACCCTAGAGCTAAATATACAGAAACAAAAAAAAAGTGAAAAAAAGAAAAACTGAAAACTGAAAAAAAAAAAGAAAAAAAATGAAAACTGAAAAAAAGGAAACAAAAAAAACAGAGGAAATTAAAAACTGGAAATTGAAAATTTGAAAAAAGTGTAAAATTGAAGTAGAGCAGAACAAAAAAAGTGGGAAAAAATCTGGAAATTGAAAGAAAAAAAGTGAAAATTGAAGTACAAAAAAATAAGCAAAGAAGGAGCAGCAGATGGCGATAGAAATTGAAGTCCATCGCAGAACAAAAATAAGCACCTAAAAACAATCTGAATTGAGCAATGCTTGAACAGCAGATGGCGATCAAAATTGAAACAAAAACGAGATTAACTATGCAGCGTTTATGGCGGAATTGAAGAGCAGAGCAATTCCGATAAAAAAAGTGAAATTTGAACGGAATACCTGTGCGATGAGAACAGAAAGAAGAAGGCTAATGGTTTGGTGCGTTTGGGTTAAGGGCAACGGCCTATTTTATTAGCTCCATATTTAGCCAATTTGGCAATTTGGTGGTCAAAAATGACCCGACCTTCCTCTACTAGACTTGGCAAAAAATGACCCGACCTGTTTTTGACCCGAAACCTGACCCGAAAGCACTAGATTTTGAACAAAGGTTTTGATGACCGAACCCGAAGTTGACCGAACCCGAAATGACCCACTAAAAATGGGTCAAACCCGACCAAACCTAAACCCGACCTATCCGACCTGCTAAAGTAATAGTTTTTCAAAATCATACACTTTAATACTCGTTTTTAATGTATAAATTTATATTTTCATGTTGACTTGTTCATCCCACATCGGCTATGCAGCCTTATATTGTGCTGCTATTTAATAGCTTGGGTACCTCAACCTCTTGAGTTAACTTTTGGGGTTAAATTGGGCCCAAGTCTATTGTTTCAACATGGTATCAGAGCCAAGCCATTGATGTTGGGACCACGCCCGTAGTAATCTGCGCCTCGTGTGAGGGGGGGTGTGTTGACTTGTTCATCCCACATCGGCTATGCAGCCTTATATTGTGCTGCTATTTAATAGCTTGGGTACCTCAACCTCTTGAGTTAACTTTTGGGGTTGAATTGGGCCCAAGTCTATTGTTTCAACATTTCAGACAAAATTTTAATAATATTGCATAATTATCTTACTTTTTTCTAAAACTTAAGCATTTTTTTAAATTCTTTATTTTGATTTATATGTCTAAAACAATTTTTAGGATTTAAAATAGAACAATCTAATAGCCTTACATCTTAGGAATCCACAGAATCAAACGGTTTGCAATTCCGTGAAGAAACGATAGAGATATGCCCAAATTACCGCAGGCTGTCCAGTTGTAACGGAAATGACAAAGTTGGCAAATTTCGATGTTGTTTCCACTCCCGCTCGTCCGTAAGGTTTCGGCCGATGATTTCCAGGTCTGTACCTTTGCGTTAGACTTGTCGAATCATTCATCACATACATACATGAACATCTATGTTAATCCATATGTTGAATCATCCCAAAATAAAATATGTAATACATATGTAAATCATCTTTGTGTTAAGACCAAAATAAACCAAATGTATAAAGTTATTATAAGTATATATAAACTTTTGAAATCAACCCAACAATATGTATATATTAACCAAAGGTGTTTAAAAGACTTAAAGAAGTATTTTGGACACTCAAAATATCAAGAGGTAGATTCGCAGACCCAAACGGTCGACGCAAACAGTCGACCGTCATATTAAACTTCAAAACGGACCACGACTGTCAGCCAAACGGTCGACCTCCGGTAGCTGACGGTCGATTGTCGCCTGCCCAGCCGAGAACCATCATCGTCATCCAGTCAACAACGGTCGACCGCCGGTCAACCGCGGTCGACCGTCACGGTGTTCCGCCAGCCCGACGAGATGAAGATCAAGGTCGACCGCCGCGTCAAACGGTCGACCGTTCCGAGCCCCGTAGCTTAATTAAATGATATTTTTATCAGGTTTCATCCAAATAAAATAAAGTATATTTATCCAATCATGTTGTTTACAAATTGTTCATATCATGTGATTCATTTCATCATCCATATTGAAACATATCACATCATGTGCATGCGCAAGAGATCAGGCGGAAGTGCGTCTCTTGTAGTGTGATGTGCGGGACTTATTAGTCCGACATCACCCGTTCCGGGCTTAGTGTACGTACATGGTATTCAGGTTTTGAGTACCACCCCTACTTTCTAGTCTCCCTTGAGAAACTAAGGCCACGTGAGTTCGTCGTACCAAATGGGCGAATCTCATAGCGCAAGGGTGTCCTTGCTCGTTAGAATCATACAGCATGAAATCATCATCAAGTAAAATCATCATGACTATGTGTGACATCAATTACGTATCATATAATCATCATCAAGAACAATCAAATTGATTAAATTAAATGTGCCATCATGTAATTATCATTCAATATTTATCATCACGATTCATCAAATTGTCTATATGATATAATGTGCCACTCAGCGGTTTCGCTGAGCGTGTAGTTTGTATTTTTCGTTAACTACATGTAGGTAACAAGAAGACAATGATGGAACCATTCCTGGAGGGCATTGAGTCAGAGGAGATGCAAGGATGGCAGGCAAATGTTTGATCAACAGATTTTAAATGTGTCATGATTTGATTATTATTGTACTTCCGCATTATTCTGAAAATATTTTTAAATGGGTCGGGATCCAGAGTCTGTAAATTTAATATTTATCAGAAATTGTCATTTCCAAATGTCAAGTGAAATTTTTATTTATCTCTCGTTTCACCTTAATTTGTATAATTCCGGGTTATATGGATTGGGGTGTTACAATCCCCATCAGGAATGACCTTTTTGTTGCATTCTGTGCACCCTAAGTAGCACCAGTCACCTGAATCATGAATCGATGATATGTTCCCAACAACCAGTAGGGCCAGGGTGCACATACACCAAAGATACATTTTAATGAGTGTAATGTACATTAAATGTACAATATTGACCTTTTTTATATTAGGAAGAAGTATTCACACGTTTAATTATTTAAAGTCGTTAAACTTAAAGTCGTAATTGTATACAACAAATTTTTAGATTGTAGTGCTTTGTACATTAATTATGAAATTTTGACCTTTGTGGTGTCCAACAGAGCCCTGATTCTGGTAGTCTTCATTACACCTTCTTCCCCATATGCTCCAACACTTAGAACGATACTACCTTCATTCACCTGTAGAGGCAACATGGTTCCATTTAACAAAGTATTAGATTAGTAAATATAGACAATGTATACAATTATTCCTATATATATTGAATTAATGTACCTGGCTCTAAATTCATTGACCTCAGCAGAATTACCATCGAACAGCATCTTTGTAACATGAAACGTAGTGGAGACAGTGACAGTACCTATAAACATACGATATAAATATTAGAAATCGATTCCTTAATCTGTTCAATCACGAAATATTTTAAATAGTTAGTTTACCCCTATAACGCCTTGGGTGGCAAAAACTCAATAGCATGAAAACCGGCTCTTGGGCATTTTGGGTCAAACATCCCAAAAATCGATCCACATATTCCCCCCCAAAGGGTGCACCCCATACGATTTCCCGTGTAGTATCATAATAGTGAGCAAATTTGAATCTATTATTTCAATTTAAAATATGATATTTTTATATTATTGAATCTTACTCATGTTCTTCTAGAGTAACTTCCATAAACTTTTGTTCTCTGCCTCTGATTAAGTTTGTTTGAACCTTGGTTCGGGCAACAATTTTTCCAATCACATCTGCATAAATATTTCTGTGATTACTTACTGGATCAAATACTGATATATAAAAAATCCAGATTTGCAAAATGTACGAAAGTAATAAGATTATATAAAATGGTGTAAGAAATAATACCTGAAGCAATTGGTAAGCTATTCCCATAATTGATCACATTTCTATTTCGTTATGCATTTGTGTACATGTTCTAAAGTGAGATCTGTCTCGATATTATTTGGGTCACTTGGCCATGGTATTCATAAAGTTTGAATTTTCAAAATGGTCATTTAGTGGTCTTTTGATTATCCTGTATTATTTGGTTCATTTGGCCATGGTATTCATAAAGTTAATTCAAAATAATTCGGTGCAGTGCTTGGAAAAACAGAGCTACTATTTTAGGAAGAGTTTCTAATGGCATAAGTCATTTGGTAGTTCATTGTATCACTACTTTGGTAGTTCAATGTATCACTACTGGATTTTTTTCGAAGGACAAAGATAGGCAGTTTTTGGTAGCACTAAAACTGTTTCAACAATCAAAAAGATAGATTTAAACACATATTTATTTCGGCCACACATTATTTTAATAAAGAAGATAAAGACTTAAAAAAAATGTCGTAAGAAATAATACCAATCAGAAGTTGATCATTCAAACATGGTTGACTTTGAAGAAATGGAAATGGCTTCAAGTCGAACATCATCCGGAGGAATCACTCCGATTTAAAGTTTTCACTTCAGTGTTTTTGAAAAAACCCAAGAGCTTATCATTGGCAGCGGATTTCAATCTTTGGTAATTGTCATGAACAAACACATTTCGAATGGCATAAACACCACCCTCACTGATCTGGTTTTCAAACTTCTCTTTCTCCTTCCGACTAAGATGTGCGTGAATCCTAGTTCCCTAAAAAAAGTATACAATATGAGATTATGAGTTATAGGTTGTAAAAAAACAAATGTAATAACTTGTGGAATACATTACATGCTCATCGTGAAAGACGATCTTCATGGAATCTTCACCTTTCGCCCACCTAGGAACGAAGTAAACCCGAATAGCCCTCAACATGAGAATCCAAGAATTCCGATTGCTGTTGAGTTCCACAATTGGAGTGAACATTGTCATGGAACTCTTTTCGGAATTTTGAGCCATATTTATGGAATATACGAAATTTATAAAAACGCCAATTTAGTGAAGTGGTGTAGGTTATGATGGAAAGAGGTGTATATATAATATGAGAAATGCTAGAGTCACAAACACTTCGGTCACAAAATACACAAACTTACCATTTGTGTATTTAAATATTTACTTTTTAATTATTTAACATCATATCATTTTATTCATTTAGTGAGGTGCACAAATAGCAAGATTGTGTATTTTGTGACCAAAATGTTTGTGACTCTAGCATTTCTCATATAATATTTTGGAAATGAAGTAAGTTTAAGCACATTAAATGCTTGGATTGTGTAAATCTTACTACCTCTGTCCTAAAACTTTCTTCCCACTTCCCATTTTTCTCCGTCCTAAAACTACCTTCTCATTAGAAAAAAAAGGATGACAAATGACATTAATACCCTCATGTATTTACACTAATTATCTTCTAACTCTATATTTTGAATGATTGTAAAAAAAATTTAAAAAAATCTTTTTTAAGGAGGGTAAAATTTGAAGTCAAAACCAAAAATTAAAAATCGGGAAAAGTCAAACTGAGAAGAAAGAATTAGGACGGAGGGAGTATTATTTAATTGATTAGATGGAAAGCATTGATATGACACTTTACCACATAAAGCATTATTACTTTACTTTATCGAGCCACGCACTCAGCCGTCTACCGCAGCCCCATAAATTGTCAGCCGCATGCCCAAAGAAGAGCAGAAAAGTCGGCCCATGAACATCAGCCCAGTCCGGTCCAAGTGATGGAGGAGAAAATGGCGGGAACACTATTCATAAGGTGCTCTTACCATTGAATATAGAAGAATATTCTATGTTATTTTTAGATCTACAATTTTAAATTTTTTATTCGACACCAACATTCAAATAAATTTAAAAAAATGCTTTAGTTAAACATTATAAACTGAGATAAAAATATAACAAGAAAATATATTTCTACTAAATGCTCAACACGTCGCGTGTACTGATAGTGTACATCAGTACATCAGTACATGTACTGCATGCAATAATATTGAAGTAAAGAAAGAGAATCATATGTATAATATGCAATTTTCTCCCTTGGAAAATATCTTTTCAAAAAGTTTCAAGTGTGGGGGGAATTTCTGTGATGATTGTTGTGTGGAGGCAGGGGTGGCTGTCAAAAGTTGAAAACACAGATCGCACGAAGGTGACTGACATCGGGCACAGCACAAAAGAATCAAAATTCTACGGAGGGACTCTAATCTTTGCTTTTTTGAAATCCTTCGAGTCTTGAACAGCAAGCCAGCCAGCCAAGGGGAGTCAAAGGTTCTAGAGACCGACACTTGGCATCCTCTGGGGATTGATTTTGGAAAGGGAGGCGTGCCTTTTCCACGATGCGGAGATTCGTGGCCGATAAAGCCAGAAATGTCGTCAATCGACTCGCTTCGTCTTCTCACGCGTTTCCGCCTCGCGCTTGTTCCCCTTCATCTCTGTCCCGTTTCTTGACCAGCGCCAGCGCGGATCTTTCGTCTGTGTCCGATTCCATGGCGGGTTCTGATTATTCATCTGCTCCGATCAATATTCAATCCATCAACCCCAAGGTAAAATCCAGACTCCCCAGTTTTTGGACGATTCAACTGTGCTTCGTTGCTTTGAAAGAAACCATTTAGCTTTAATTTCTTTTCTTAAATATTGTAGTCTACTTCCCCAATTCCACCCTTTTCTATTTTTGTTTTGGTTTCAACACAATTTTTTGGATAAAGTTTCTGGCTTTCTAACTACTGTGTTGTTTTTTTTTTGGAATCCAATTACCTTTGTTTTCTCGAATAGTTTTAATTTATACCCTTTTCCATTAATCAAAATTTGGTATAAATTTATGGCTTTCTTTTTCCTCTTTGAGTCGACTAAGTTTTATTGGTTCTTGAGCCACATTGTATTATTTGTTTAGCCCGGGTTTATTGTGCTTATTCTGCTTCAGTGATTCTTATTCTTAGGTAGATTTTCAGTTGTCACTAATGTGGCTGAAATGGATTTACTTGTTTTCCAATTTAGCAGAGTCAGCATTTTACCCTTACCAAGCCGATCCTTAACCCATGTCACGTTCAGGCAGCTAGAATAAATATTTCAAATTACAAACACATCATTTGATTTTCTGCTGTATTGTGATATTAACATGTTTTATGGCCTGTTAACCGTTCCACTTTATAGCCATGTTTCTGAATATTTGATTCACTTGATTGCTGTTCTTTGTACAGGTTCTAAAATGTGAGTATGCTGTTCGTGGAGAAATTGTCAACCTTGCTCAGGTAATTATCATATTGTTCAATTAGCTGCAAGGGCTTTGTTCAATTCTGAGTGTCCTTTGTCATTTTGTTTGGCAGAAACTACAAGAGGAGCTGCATTCTAACCCGGGCTCTCATCCGTTTGATGAGGTATTATTGACTCTTAAAAAGTTATATGCTTGGATGCATCTTGATTGTCTTTGTGACCTATTTGTTGCTTAACTCCAAACCAGGATCGCTTTCTTCTTTTTTCTAGTTTAAGGGGTTTGTGCACTTCTTATTTCACTTCAGCGATTTGCAGATTTCTATATCTTATGCATTCATTTCCCTGCTGATATTTGCAGATACTTTATTGCAATATTGGAAATCCCCAATCACTTGGTCAGCAGCCAATTACTTTCTTTAGGGAGGTTAGTCCGCTTTAGTCTTATGTTCTAAAATCCTGAAAACAAGAATGGAATGTTTCCATCTTCAGACTCATTGAGGATAGACTTTCTTATGTTAGGTGCTGTCGTTATGTGACCATCCTTCCATTTTGGATAAGAGTGAAACCCAAGGCCTGTTCAGGTAAGAGTTTTAGTTCATTTGCGGCAGAATAGTGTACTAAATTCTTTAGAGAAACATGACTCCTGTTTGGGGTTTATATGATCGTCTTCCACGGAGGGCACTCTTCAAAAATGTTTTTGTAATGGTTTCTAAATTCTGTAGTGCGGACTCCATAGAACGGGCTTTCCAAATCCTTGATCAAATTCCTGGAAGAGCAACTGGTGCATACAGCCATAGTCAGGTCTGACTTTATTCACTGAGAACTCTAAATTTCATTTCAGACATTTTTCTCATTTGAGGATTTTGAGATATGGAGTATATCATTCAACTTGTATTTTATTATCACTATATATAGGGTATCAAAGGATTGCGTGATACAATTGCTTCTGGTATAGAAGTTCGTGATGGTTTCCCTGCCAATCCAAATGATCTTTTCTTGACCGATGGTGCAAGCCCAGCGGTAAACATTTAAACTAGTTCCATAGTCATTTCATTAGTACCTTGCTTGCAAGCTGAAGTTGTTAATGACTATCATTCTTAATATTTCATCCAGGTTCACATGATGATGCAATTGTTGATTAGTTCTGAGAGTGATGGAATTCTTTGTCCCATCCCTCAGTATCCACTTTACTCTGCTTCAATAGCTCTCCATGGCGGTACTCTCGTATGTTCTGACTCGTTTTAGATTTAGTGTACAATTTCACAACTTTAGTCAGTCAAATGCATTTGAATATACATCTCTCTAATACAATCAATGCTTAAAAACCGCCACCTTACGCTTGGAAGATATTTCATTTTTCCCTTGTTTGCAGACACGAATTATTTTTTTTTTCAGTTTTTGTTTTGGGATCTTATATGATGTTTACAGGTTCCTTATTATCTTGACGAGGCGAGTGGATGGGGACTTGAAGTCTCAGAGCTTAAGAAACAACTCGAAACTTCCAGGTCCAAGGGGATCAATGTTAGGGCATTGGTTGTGATAAATCCTGGCAACCCCACAGGACAGGTAAACAGGTGGCTTGGAAAAGAACATACCTGTTCTTTTCATGATATATACTGATCCGTTCGAAGTATATTGTGTTTCCTTATAGTATTAAAATTGTTCCGATGCTTTAAGTATAGATTTATTAGCCATTTATGCTTACAGGTTCTTGCTGAAGCTAACCAAAGGGAGATAGTAGATTTCTGCAAGAAAGAAGGTCTCGTGCTTCTGGCAGATGAAGTGCGTAAATTTCACAATTTACGGCTCTTTTCCTGAACCCAGAGTTCTTTTATGTGTTTCATTCTCTTCATGTCATTTGGCTTAGACTGTTTTGGAGGAGTTTTTGAAAGAGTAGGAAAGGAAAACACACTTCGAAATGGAGTTATATGTGTTCCATGGTGATTATAAGACGATTAGGACATCAGTTCAATGCTAGTAATTCATTTTATATCCTTTATTTTGGAAATTATCAAGTTAAAATGAAAATCTGGTCCACAATTTCATCTCCATCCAAAAACTACACCGTAACAACATAGGATCACTTGGTTATTGATGTGGGTTTGTCCTTTTATGCCATTAAATTGTTGGTTTAAACGTTGGCAGGTATACCAAGAAAATGTCTATGTGCCCGACAAACAATTCCACTCATTTAAGAAAGTTGCGCGTTCTATGGGTCATGGAGAGAAGGACATTTCTTTGGTATCATTTCAGTCTGTTTCTAAAGGTGCACTATCATTCTCCCTTTTCACATGGCTTTCACAATAACTATATTGACCTCTTTGATGATGTATCTGTTCACGTTGTCTCTTTGGCCCTCTAGGATTCTATGGAGAATGTGGAAAGCGAGGAGGTTACATGGAAGTCACTGGATTTAGCCCCGAAATAAGGGAACAAATTTACAAAGTTGCATCTGTAAATCTATGCTCCAACATTTCTGGCCAGATTCTTGCCAGCCTTGTCATGAGCCCACCTAAGGTTAGTTCGTTTTTTTAATTGTGAAAAACAAAATGTATATTGGATTACTGGGTAAAACATGTTTGGATGCAGGTGTATTTTGTGAATTTTATTATACGATGAACGTCTTTTACATGAGTTTCTTTTGCTTTATTATTTTTGTAAACAAAACCTTCCATCACACAATAATAATAGTAATATCTGTTAGAAAATGCTAAGTTCTGCAAGTTTAGACATAAACATATGCTCTGCAAATTTATTCAGCAGATTGGATCTCAATTTTATCATCACTTTTGATACACAGGTTGGAGATGAATCGTACGACTCTTTTTGTGCTGAGAAAGATGCAATACTATCATCTCTGGCACGGCGTGCAAAGGTTAGTTTGTCTTTTAACAAACTTCCATCCATCTCCAATTTTATGAGACGTTTCACATACTCTCTTTATTCGGGTTTTTAGTTTTTTTCTTTCTAAAAAATATCATTTTAAGAAATAAGTATACAATTACTAGTAAGTCAATCGAATGTGTCACCCATTCATGTCAACCACGTGCATCCCTTATCTCTAGACTATTCTAGACAGTTCATCATAATATCTTTATTGAATATGAAAACTGAAAAGTGGACAATTAAGTTCAGATGGAAGGAGTATAAGAAACCCAATCCTATATCTTAAAACTCCTCAGGTCTTCTCCCGGTCAAGCAATCCGAGCCTAGCCCACGTTGACTCTGAAGAAATAAAAACCATACAGGGAGAAAAACATGAAAAAGAAAACTTGCATATTTTAAGCATAATACACACAATAGAGTTTCGTTCGTGGATGGACTTTGTACATTTGATATTTCTTTAGATTGTTTTTTTCCTTTAAAAAAACATGTTTTTGTGGAACAGACACTTGAAGAAGCATTCAACAGCATGGAAGGAGTGAGTTGCAACAGAGCAGAAGGAGCAATGTATCTCTTCCCTCAAATTCGTCTCCCTGAGAAAGCTATAAAGGCAGCAGAAGCAGCAAAGACTGCTCCGGATGCATTCTATGCTCGCTGCCTTCTCAATGCTACTGGAATAGTAGTCGTCCCAGGCTCCGGCTTTGGACAGGTAATTCCTACTTTTGTTTTCTTTGTTCGAAGAAATAGAAAATAAAAAAATGGGTGGGCCTTAGACCCTAAATACTAAACCATAATACCTCAAGGGAGTGTGTGTGTACGCAGAAGTACAAATAAAGAAACCACTCAAACATGATGGAAGTACAAACAAAGACACAAGAAGAATACAAACCAACTCTATGAACTTAGACATAGAGCACAAAAAACACACACTATAGACTAAAAACACACACACACACAAACACACCAAGAAAAATTACAAACTAAGGCCTATAGGTAGGACCTCCGGTATTACCAACTCTCCTAAAAAGAATTGGTGTTAAAAACAATTGGTATTAGAAAAAGCGGACACCTTAGCTCTATAGTGTATTCAACACACAATTGCCTACGACATTTAAGTGTGACTTGGTCCACATAGCTTCCGCCACAGGACAATTGATGCACACATGACAAACAATCACCCCCTCAGCAATTGCTCTTGCTGGGAATCAGACTTGTGCATATCTCATGGCCTACTAACTCTCCTAAAACCAATTGGTGTTAGGAAAAAGTGCATACCTTAGGGCATTCAGCACACATAAGTGCTTATGACATTCGAGTGTGACTTGACCCACATAGCCACCGTCGTGAGACAATTAATGCACGTCCAACTACTCGAATGATAGATCATGAGGCGAATTTTAAGTCCGCGTGGCAAATTCGTTTTTACAGTAGTTTTGATGTTTGGTTCCTCACATGTCCGCGAATAGGTGAGCGGAACGTGGCATTTTAGGTGCACAATATTGCCTCAAGAGGACAAAATACCAGACGTCGTCGCTCGCCTTACGGAATTCCACAAAGGGTTCATGGATCAGTACCGCGACTGATTATGCTGCTGCTGCTGCTATAATACAGGCTACATCTCCAAAGCACTCTGAATAATACTCTAAACTGTCCCAAATTGTTCTTGTTGTGGTCATTTCTGAGTTTTGAAGCCTACAAGTGTGTGATTTACAAGTAGATGATGCATCTGTTTTTGTATTAGTGCTGACAAAAACAATTTTCATTGTTGGCTCAAAATTTGTAAGGGTTCGTTTGGAACTCGGAAGTACAGTACTTTCTACAAGTGCATATTCCTTCTATTAATTCATACACTTCTTTATTTTCTAATAAAGTAAAGAGTATGTAGGCTACAATTTTTTCTCTTCTAATAAAATATCAACCATTTACTTTTTATTTTTCAACATTTATCTTAAACTGTGTGAAGTCGAATTGTATCAATTAATTCAAGACGGAGGGGTATAATTTATTATTCTTTGTTCTAAAAAGAACAACACATTATGTAAGACAAAGTGAAATTTTAAGTTTGTTTAATTGATTTTATTTAAAGTTTCTTATAGATACAAAAAATTTGGCTCACATATTTAAAAATCTGCTTCAAAAATTTTATAAAATAAAATTTGACAAGAATATTTTATTTTATAAAAAAATCAATGAAAATAGAAAAATAAACAAGATTTTTTATAATTTTTGAATAGTGAATTACGATGTTTTTTTCAGATGAAGGGAGTAGCATTCAACAGGTAATGTGGGGTCCCAAATGAGATTCTTTAGCCAGTGGAGATGCAATAAAATTATTGTGTGTTTGGGACAACTTATTTATGAAAATACTAAGCAAACCAAAAAAAAGTTAAAAGAAACAAAAATTTTAATTTTATTTGGTCGGCAGGGAAATTATTCTTTGACAATTTTGAATAATGCTGGGTATACACCAAAAGTATACCTCATTTGTACATCACCACTTTTTTCACTATATATTCTTTATTGATTTTCTAATTTTATCCACACCTAAAATTGTATATTGGAAGAATATGATTTAGACAATACTAATAGCACTGCAAGTTAATTTACCACATGATTTTGTTCAGTCCAAAATGTTAGTCGTTACTTTGGATCTAAATGATTGGAGAAGTAAGAAGTAAAGTAAATCCCCTAAATAGGAGTAAAACATGTATCATATCTTTATAATAGGAGCTCAAACTTAAACTCCTCAAAATAGAAATAGGACTAATTAAATAAGTAATGGGTGATGTAGATGCTAATGTTATTCGATCAAATGAGGGAGCGAGAACTTGGTCGGCGGTGCAGCTTCTATGGGTTGGAGACGGTGGTCTTTTACTGCCGCCCCGATTCGGCCGTACTCCAGTAGGCTTTGCAAACACCATATCACTTGCCGGCGCAAGCTTACGCCCATCGCCGCCGTCTTCATCCAAACCCTTCGCCTCCCTAAGCACTTCCACTCATTCTAGTGAGAATCTCCACTTTACTTTAATGTTGTGATTTCTTTGTCTCCGTTTCCTATCAATTTTTCATACAATCACCTTTAATTTGGGCTTTGATTCTTGGTTATTGATGAATTTTGGTGAAATTTGAGTTAGGGTTTATTGGCTAAATTGCTAATTACCTTATATAGCCTCTGAAAGTTCAGATCTAGTTTTCTTGCTGATATAGGGTGTGAATCCATCTCTGATGCTTATAGGTGCTGTACCAACCCCGTCTTCACCAACACTCCCAATCTCATTCATTTTGGCTATAATTTGATTCTAGCAAATCAAAGTATAGTTTTGCCCCCCTAAAAAACTTGTTGTTAAATTTTTGATTATTGATTTAGAATGCATATACAATTGAAAAAAATTAGATTAAAATTATCTGATTCATGGTCCATTTACCTGTGTGACACTGTCAATTTGCATCTAAAACAATGTATGTGGGCATTTGTGACATTATGCATTTTCATATGTGACACTATGTGGGGCAATGCTTGGTATTATTTGACACTGTATTTGGTGGTTAGTGTGGTACAATGATATCAACATTAATAAGAAATTACTCTAAGTAGAAGCAAAACATATGTCATAGGCTCAAAATAGGAGTTCATATTAAACTTTACTAAATAGTAGTAATTAATTAATTTTTGTTTTTCAATCTCACTGAGGGTACAAACTACAAAGCCCCTATTTTTTTAGCGATCCAAATTGTTTCCCCCTTCTTCAATCTCAACAACCACCACCGATCACCATCTTCGTTACATCTCAGTTGCTAACATTATACAGTTTTGAATGATTGGCTTAATAATCAAACTTGTTCTCATTTTCCTTGTAACATTATACAGTGTCATATAGTGTCATATATGTCCTTATGTAGCGCTAAGTTTGGCAGTGTACATTGTCATTTTTGACATTATTTGTTGCTACAGTTGACATGTATAGCAAGTCAACTGTAGTATGGCACTAGTGATGGTTACATGTCCTGGTGGTGTCGGTAGCAAAGAAGGAGACTTAGTGGTGTTGGCAATGACATGCGAAATCATCAACAATAGCTAATTGCACCACAGTGGGACACGAGAGAGCAAAGATAGGGGTGTGTGTATGTTGTTAGAGGTGATAGAAGAGTAGCAGAGCACGACGACATGACGGAAAGGGCCGTGGGGCAAGGAGTGCAGCAAAGCGTGGCGGCGTTGGCGGCAGGGGGAAAGAGCCGGCGGCGTTGACATGTAATATTGCTCGGCGTTAGCATATTTTTGTATGGTACTTCGTGTATGTCAATAACATTTTACTCATATCTAAAGATATTTTTCTCTAAATTTTCACATGTAACTCTTAGGATCAACTTGAGGAGACTAATTAGAATAAAATTGTTCCTTTTTTATAAATAAAATCCCACATTGATCTAATGGGCCATCATCCTTTCCTTCCATGGGGGAGAAACCGAATTGTGTTTTTACCTAAAGTTGTCCCCCCCCCCTTTTGTGTGTGGTGTGTATATGTGTATGGCAAGCATCATTGCCATTTGCCAGACCACCCTTCTCTCTTTTCGTTCACATTTATAATCCCCCCTCACAAAAATAAATCCAAATAGAAAAATAAGAGTCACGGCACCAAAACCTATGCATATTGACTAGCTAGCTCCCCTCCACCAGTAGCTACCTAAAAATAAATGACCCTGCCTCTAACTTTGTTTTGAGAGTTGAAAAAAAACTTACTTTAATAATCCCATGAAACCACGAGGCAGTTGTGAAAGGAGAGTGAACAACTCCTATATTTTGGGACTTTTATGTTTCAACTCCTGTTTTAGATTTTCATCAATGTTTTACTCCTATTTTGCTCCTTAACCCTAAAAAACACACTAGGCTAAATAATGTACTCCCTCCATACTACCGATTATTTACATATCAATTTTTTTTACTCCGTATTTGTTATTCTGTAATTAATTTTATTAATCACTTGTTAAAGTATGATAGTCTTATCAACTCTTAATTTATACAAAGTAAATTATTTGATGTGATTCTAATAAACTTTATTTTAAAACTTTGTACTATTACCTAAATAAACTAAATTCAAAAAAATGAATTTGTCAAGTATCATTATCGGAGACTTTAGTTTTGAGATAGAGAAAGTATTTTCTTTGTATATAAATACGGAGGAAAATTCGTGCTTTACATTAGCCATCTCAAAAAAGTTCTCATTTCATTTAGAAAAAAAGAGTACTTTGCATTATATCTCTTAGCTTCTTTCTACATAAATTTCTACAATATAATTTCAATTTTCGTTATATTTTAGTAAATCAGATTTATTTTTTTTTGGGAATGAACATAGCATATTAAAAAATGCCAGAAGCCCATAATGTTTAACATCAAGTGTTTTATAAATATGTATAGACAATGATTTTCTGGCCGTCACAATCAATAATAATTATATAATCAGTGATCAATATCCAATTTATCTTCTTTCAGTGATCGTCTGATCTAGTCTGAGGGGACCTTAGGGATGAGGCTCATCGTGTATATATATATATATATATATATATATATATATATATATATATAGACACACACACACATATGAATTACAGTACTTGATATCAAACTTACAGGGTGAAATGAGTGAGTTTCAACTCTAAGAAAAATGGATTTGTAGGGTGGGAATGTGTTACAGTGCCTCCACCCCCCCTGTATATATGTATGACAATATATATAGATGATTTTATACCTATATAGATCATAATCATTTGTGAATAACACATACGATAATGTATAAAATTATTTATATTATCATGAATGAGAGCGGGGCTAGTGATGAGCATAAAGACTAGGACCGAAAAGATTGATCAGGAGAGATTGAGATTGGGACCAGAAAATATGGGACTGATGTTGTTCTTGAGATCGGTCTGGTCTTGGACCGGTAGTCTCATTTGGTTCTTGATTTTTTATGAAAGACTAGACTGGGATCGGACTAAGACTAGAGATATAATGTATTCATCATACTTTAAATTTTAATTTGTATGTAAATATGTTTATCCTATCAATATGAAGTTATAGTAGATTACATAATTTTATTTAAGAATTTACAAATAAGTGATAACAAAAAAGTCTCAGCTCATATCTATACAACATACATATTCATTTTATTTTTTCGTTCATTCTATCTAACTTTTTCATGTTGACAGACCCGCCGTTATGGTGAAATTGGTAGACACACTGCTGTTAGGAGGCAGTGCTCGCGCATCTCGGTTCAAGTCCGAATAGTTGCATATCTTGTTAAAATATGAGGAATATCTCACATAATAATATTCAAGTTGCATAACTATTACTCCGTATAAATTAATAAAGCATAATAATTTTCGTATAATTTTTTTTTTACGGTAGGCATGCCTGCCAAGTGCCAATCAATATATGTCACCTGGACCATTATTATTACTGGCATTATTATGGAAAGAATTGTACGGCAAAACAAGCACGAGGAAAACTTGTGAACAGTGGATTCGCCATTTTAGCTGAATTCAGAGTTTCAGTTACGCACGAGCCTTTCTTAAACCCTAAATCATATGGGTTCCATGGCGGCTTCTGATCATTCATCCAAACGCATCACTATTCAAACCATCAATCCCAATGTAAGGCTATCATTTTAAGTTTTAGCATTTTCATAGTTAATGTGTACGAGTAAAAATTACGGAGTATTCAAAATTAATCTGTACATTTACATAATTTGGGTTGGGGCTCGATTATTGATATACAATGTACTCATTTTTCAGGTTTTGGAATTTGAGTATGCTGTTCGTGGAGAAATTTATTACCTCGCTCAGGTAAATATACATTTGAATGATTGTAGACATGATACGTGTTCTGTTCATTTAACTTTTGATGTATCACTAAAGTCATAATGATGAGTTAAATTTGAATGGAAGGAGTATCGTTTTGCTACTTGCGCATTGATCCCCATCCTATAAGTTTGAGTTTTTTTGGAATGAATTCCGAGTTTTGAAATGGTATGAGAGCCTATTAAGCGCAAATGAACATTGATCCTATAGTTTGTTACCATCAACAATGACCACACTTACTTCATGATTTTGTTAGCTCTAACGAGCCATCATTTTTAAAGTCAACTAAATTTGGAGGATGCAATTAAAGGGGTGGGTTCAGGTCAGGCTCGAGTGGGGGGTTTACCTTGTAATTAGAGTGTAAGAACCATAAATTTTGCGAACAGGGGGGCTCGTAGGTACTACATACATTTGGAGCCAATGTCATCACATGACATTAAAATCCAATATAATGGGAACTGGAGTGATACAAATAAATCTCTTCATAAGAAGTTGCAACGGGAACCTAAAACTTCAAAATGATACTTCTTTCCTTTTTTTTTTTGCATTAATATACAGAGTTATTTTTTTATGCTTTGAAATTTGCACTATCAATTTCCTGCCGCTAATTCAATATATTCAAATCTGAGTGGCCACTGTAAATACTCTTTGACAGAAACTGCAAGAAGAACTTGAGGCAAAACCTGGTTCTCATCCATTTGATGAGGTACATAACCCTCTCTTTTCAACCAAATGCTTCAAAGATGTAATCATGCATGAGTATTTATTTGTTCTATATCTAGTTTCTAATGGTTTTTTAATACTCCGTAATATAGAATAACTTTTTGTATAATCTATATCTAATTTTTTGTCTGCCAATATGTGCAGATACTTTATTGCAATATTGGGAATCCTCATGCCTTTGGTCAACTACCAATTACTTTCTTTAGGGAGGTAATCACAAGTTTATTACTCTCGTGCCGTAAGATTCTTAGTCATGTTTGGTACAAGAGGAACTGTTTTTCTCTTGTAAGCAAACAGGGAAATTTTTCCTTAGAAAGTCATATCCTCTTGAGGAGAGGAAATCCTTTTTCTTGTGTTGATACTTGATAATGTACTGTTCTTTGCAAGCATGTAATGTCAACTTGTAAAAGATTAAAGACACTTAAGATTATCGGTTTTCTAAGAACCTATTTTCTGGCAGGTGCTTGCACTGTGTGACCATCCTCGCATTTTGGATATGAGTGAAACTAAGGGAATGTTCAGGTTTGAGATATACAGAGTCCTGTTTCGATTTAAGTACTAAACAATCCCCAGGAAGTGCAATCTCATAAGAAATGACTATTGTTTTCTCCACGCATTCTGCAGTGCGGACTCCATAGGCAGGGCCTTGCAGATACTTGACAAAATTCCAGGAAGAGCAACTGGTGCATACAGCCATGATAGGGTCTAGTTTTACTTATCCGAGACGCTTCTCATTTCACGGTCTCTTAGATATCATGATATATATTGAATTCCAGTGTTTAACTAAATATATGTATAGGGTATCAAAGGATTGCGCGACACAATTGCTTCTGGTATAGAAGTTCGTGATGGTTTCCCTTCCAATCCAAACAATATTTTCTTGACAGATGGTGCAGGCCCAGCGGTAGATATTTATACATTTCAATAAATGAAGCCTTGGGCTACTACTCCTATAAGGATAGAACCCCAAGGCATAATAAGTGCAAGGGTAACCCCAACATTTTGGGGCTACAATGACCCATGCGTTGCACAGACAGTTATTTTGTGTGTGTTTGTACAAAGCATGGGGTCATTGTAACCCCAAAGTGTTGGGGTTACCCTAACTTTATTCTTCTTTCGTGACCTTATTTTGGGATGTTGCCAAACTCAACATTTTATCCAGATTCACACGATGATGCACTTATTAATTAGTTCCAAGAAGGATGGAATCTTGTGTCCCATCCCTCAGTATCCACTCTACTCTGCTTTGATTGCTCTCTACGGTGGCACTCTCGTATGTTCTAACACTCAAATTAGACAATCCCGCAATTTAGTTTGTCTTTTGTGGAGGGATCTAATGATGACGTGCATAGGTTCCTTATTACCTTGACGAGGCAAATGGATGGGGACTTGAGATCTCAGAGGTCAAGAAACAGCTTGAAACTGCCACCTCCGAGGGAATTGATGTCAAGGCTTTGGTTGTGATCAATCCCGGAAACCCTACAGGGCAGGTAATAATAACGAAGAACATGTCCTAATTTCTTCATTTTATCCATTAATCACTTATGTTTGCTTACAGGTTCTTACTGAGGCTGACCAAAAGGAACTTGTACATTTCTGCAAGGAGGAAGGTCTTCTGCTTCTGGCCGATGAGGTGCATAGATTGTTTTTTAACCAAATATAGGGCATGTACATATAAGAGTTGGAGATTTGTATCCTTATGGCCATTATTAGAATTGTGAGTCTTTTAACTTTGGTACTAGGTATACCAAGACAATGTCTATGTGGCCGAGAAACAATTCCATTCATTCAAGAAAGTTGCCCGGTCCATGGGTTATGAAGAAAACGATATTTCTTTGGTATCTTTCCACTCCGTATCTAAAGGTATATACGCAATTTCCTATCTTATTTCTCTTGGTTTTCACATTAACTACATAGTATACTTATAAATGGCCACTCTGCCAGTGTAGATGTTCATGTATTCTGTTTGGCTTTTTCTAGGGTTCTATGGAGAATGTGGAAAGAGAGGTGGCTACATGGAAGTCACTGGTTTCAGCCCTGAGATAAGGGAACAATTGAGCAAAGTTTCAACTATATATCATTGTGCTAACATTCCTGGCCAGATTCTTACCAGCCTTATCATGAGCCCCCCAAAGGTGTGTGTATTTTTTCCATTTATTAATTTTCTGGAGTATTTTTTTCAACATTTTCGTAATCACAGCGAGTACCTTGGTCTGAAGTCCATTTAATATTTTTCAGAACAAACTTTTCCAACATTTTTGTAATCACATTGAGTTACTTGGTCTGTTTGTTTTCACAGTTCGGAGATGAATCGTATGAGTCCTTTTGTGGTGAGAAAGAAGCAATCCTCTCATCCTTGGCAAGGCGTGCGAAGGTCAGTTCGGTCTTTTCCACCAGCTTCCCATACACATCACAATGTCCACCTCACACTTTCTTCTTCACAAGGTTTCCAAATCAACCTGAAGGTCTCTTTATCCCATTTAAATTCCTTGACACAATATATAGTACACATATCCGCATTTTAAGGTAAACGGTAAATGGACATTGCAGACGCTTGAAGAAGCATTCAACAGCATGGAAGGAGTGAGTTGCAACAGAGCAGAAGGAGCAATGTATCTTTTCCCCCGACTTCGTCTCCCACATAAAGCCATAAAGGCAGCAGAAGCAGCCGAGGCTGCTCCCGATGCATTTTACGTTCAACTCCTTCTCAATGCCACAGGAATAGTCCTCGTCCCCGGCTCCGGCTTTGGACAGGTAATTCATTCCCACTCTTTTTCAAAATAAAATTCAAAATAAAATAAACCAAAATAGAAGTAAAACATGGCTCTCATCTCTGAAATAAGAGTGACATGTTTTTATTCCCAAAATAAGACTTTGCACTGTGACAATGTATACATTGTCAATCCATAGTATTTTTTTGGTATTATATGTCGACACTAAAGAAATCGCCCTAAATAGGAGTTAAACATAGAGAAAATAGCAAAATAAGAGCTTTATATTTTTATCCCCAAAATAAGACTTTGCACTGTAACAATGTAGCATTGTATATTGTTATTCCACAATGTTGTTTTGGCAATTATATATTGACATTATTGACATCGTAAGCTCTGTTTTGGAGATAAAAATATAAATGTCCTATTTTAGTTCTTTTCTAATATTTTGCTCCTATTTATTTACTCCGTATTTTTTTTCTTTCTTAAATCTTAATATATTGTGACTTTTGGTTTCTGCCTGTGATGGTGAATAAATTATAGGAAAATGGAACGTGGCATTTTAGATGTACGATATTGCCCCCGGAAGATAAAATCAAAGCCGTTGCTGCCCGGATTACAGAATTCCATAGAGGATTCATGGATCAATACCGTTGACTCGGTTTCTTTGTTCATTAACGTCAAGTATTGGTGTGAAAGTTGGGTTTGTATTTATGCAGCTTCTCTTTGTTCAGAAGTTTTAAACGTGGAGAAATATTTGTTCTCTTATTTGTGGTTTGCACTTTTCCACTGGAGAATTATTTGGACTTTAGAGCATCTGCTGAGAGCAATGGAAATGCCCATCACGCCGGGGGCGCCATCGGGCGTCAAACACCACCACCTTCCGGGCTTCATCTCAGCGCCCTTTAAACGTTTAATGCACGTTGTGTGTTGATCCCCCCACAACGCTCCCCAGAAAAATAATCTTTGAATTAATTTTTTTTTATAAATATCAAACCTCAATCTTCAATTTTTTTCACATCTTTCTTCAATCTTCAATTTCATTCGCACACATCTCTTCAATCTTCTTCAAATTTTTAAAATTTTTGTTAACATGAATCCCTCTAGTTCTTCTCCCCCGGCGGTCTCGAGCCAAACAAGTACGCGATGTGACTCTTCCGAGCGTACGGGAGTAATCCGCCGTTGTTGGAAGCGTACAAGAATAACCCGTCTTTGTTCGAAACGCAAACATCGGTGAACCTCGATGACCTGGAGTCGGTTCTGGAGACTCAACCGGAAGCAATTGCACCAACAGGAACCAAAAAAAGTACACGCCGGAAGAGTCAAAAAGCGAACGGTGACAAACTGATGATCGAGGCGGCACATTCAATCCAAAAGTGGACGTCGCAGGAAGAATCCTTGTTGGTGTCGGCTTGGGTCAACGTCTCCGAGCATCGTATCGTTGGTAATTTATATGTTTTTTAATATATTTGTGTTTAAAAAATTTCGTTCAATTATATACTTTTTAAAGGTTCGGAGCAAACGAAGGATGCGATGTGAGATCGTATCAAAGAAAAGTTCTTTGCGGCGATGAACATGGGAGCCTTCTACCATACCCGAGACCAACTCACTTCTAAATGGGGCCACATCAACCGTAAAGTCCGAAAGTTTATGGAGTTTATGAGGAATGCTCTCGGTTCCGGGGTTCCGGAAGAGCAGGACGAACGATGCCGATGTTCTCAGACTTGCCACGGCCCAGTATCAAGACGACGGGCACCAATGCAAGGTACCCGTCGATCTTTGGAGAACTTTAAGCCGTTCACCGAAATGGCAACAACTCAACAATCCCGAGGCGGGATCCTCAGGCTGAGGTTGAGGTCGATGGCACTATCCGTTCATCCGAATAAAAACCTCCCTTCAACGTAGACAATTCCGATGACGAGGGCCCCATTCCACGGCCGATCGGAAGAAAGATACATAAAAAATTCTACAAAACAATAAGTAACAAGAATATTTTATTTCATCAAATAATCAATATAAACACAAAAATAAACAAAACTTGATTTTTAAATAGTGAACATTAAATTGTTGTGGGCCAAAAAGAGTAATTTTTATTCTTAAATTACCAATTTTTCAGAGGGAATTTACTTAAATAGTATTCAAACATTGTAACTTTTCTAATGTAGTACCATAGGTTTTTATTTCCAATTTGTACCATCGGTCATTGCTCAAGTAAATGTCCATCACCACCAAACATTGATCAAACTAGACATTATTCAAATATTATTTAGGAAATAAAAAAATTAAAGTAGTATATTGGGAAATGATACATAGAGTATGTTTTTGTGTTATTTAGTACAAATTTTACATTTTTCAATAAATTGAATTAAAAATAAATCCAGTTAGACATCATAAAACATAACACGAATTTAAATTTAAAACAGAGTATATTTATTGAAAAATGCTAGGGGTACATCAAAGGTGTACCCCAAATGTCCCCCACTCCCTCCTTGTCCACTAAAAAAGGCAAAAAAATTCAAAAAAAATAAGTAAATAAAAATCAAATAAAAATGTGTGGAGGAAAAGAGGGTGGTGTACATTTAGAGTACCCCAAATGGTGTACCCTAGCATTGATATTATTTATTTGGGGCTTCGCCTAGATCATAGGGCCTTTAAAAAATCCAATCATTTGAGCCGATAGTCTTACAAGTAAGAGTACTCGAAACCTTGTGAGGAAGTTAAATTTATTTCCACCAAACTATGGATTGTATTTTTCTAATACTTAAAGTTTACCATTGAGGGCATGGTTTAGAGAACAGCAGATGTCTAGTTTACGTGCTTTCACGTGTCACAAAGAAAAACATATGAGGAAAGCTCATTGGGGAAGTAAGATGTGTTCAATAAATAGAGTCAAAAGGATCAAACCCAATCAATAAAAAGAAAAGAGGATCCGAAATCGAACAAATCTCAAGGGAAATTGCAGGAAAAAGATGCAATTACCAATATTTCACAGTTCAGATGGAAACGTTTGCAATTCCAAGAAACAGACAGAGGAGCAGAGCGAGTCCAACAGTTTGAGATGATATGGGTGGGAGTTCTCTCCTCTTACAAGCGACTGATGACATCCTCCACCTCGGATGCCGGGTACAAATGGTAAGTTGGGGCTACCCTTGCAATGTCCACATTGTTGGGTGTCACCTAGTAGTGTTAAAAGGGCATTTAAGGTGGTCGGGCGATCAATTTATGTAAGCACCCCAACTATCGAAATAAAAAAAAAACAATTAAGTTTACCTTCTCTTCCATAACTTGCTTGAGGATGGACAGTGCTATTGTTTCAGCTTCTTTAAGAGTGAGTTCCTGAAAACATAAGAACGACAAGGTGCCTTAGGATCCTTTTCGGAGTCAGAAAATACCAGAGGAAAAAAATAAGAAGACACCCCTGCCGGAAAGTTTAAAGGAAACAAAATGCCGAGAAAATAAAAGAGAGGCTATGGCTTGACCAATTAGTTTAAGATTTTGTTGATACTCGGTTTATTTATTTGTGTGTCAGATAACGACAAAAATAACAATAATATTTCTTGAGTAAACCAGTTTTTCCTTCAAGCACGAGAAAATAATCTTTCACTTTTCCTAGCATTTTCTGGGATTTAAAAATGGCCTTAAGAGTTGGAGTAAAGAGACCGATCACAATTGTAAGACTTTTGCATTTTATGTGTCAAAAAGCACAGGTTTGCATTGGTGATTTGGAGAAGAGTAAACCAGAGAGTACCTCATTATACTGCTCCTGCAAAGAGCTATCAGCACCTTCAGAACCCGAACCTATAGCTTTTGCATTGCATTGCCAGAATGTACCAGATGGGTCCGTGTAATACCTGATGATAAAATTCCCTTTTATCAGTTTCAAAAGTATTTGCAGCAACTCTATCACACCATATTAAGACATTCAATTTATTACACTCAGAACTATGCATATCACAAACGAGTAAAAAGGTTTAAACTTTTAAACATAAATGAGTATACTCACAGGCTTGGACCATTCTCATCATGACCAGCAATGAGAAGAGATACCCCAAATGGCCTAGACTGCATTCACACAGAAATTCAACAATTAAATATGGTTTTAATCTTGTGTTACATATTCAGATCTCCCCTTGGTACCCTAATGCGGACCTTTACTTATCGAGAAGATGTTGGGAACATAATGTGTTGATTTTAAATCTAGAAGATGCAAAATGTAGGCATCAGTTGTTGCTTAACGAACTCATATACTCATATCTCGAGGAAAAAACAGATACAGTTGGAACATCAAATTTCAGATGCACTTATTGTACTCCACAAACAATATGGAGTAGAATACACTAGTAATAACACTTTGGATTTCTTCTGTTCAGTGGTATAGGATGGAAAAGATTTAGTATCAAGTTCTTTGCCACCACCAAAATCTCTAGCAGAATTTCACAAAATGTAACTAAGTATTTCTGTGTGTGTGTGTGGAGTGGGGGATGGTGAATAATTTAGATTTTAGAAGCACGGTAAAAATTTAAACTGATGTTGTAAGAGTTCTGTGTGTCCCGAAAATCCAATTTTAAGAGCTAACTTTGATTTCCAAGTAAATTTCATTTAAATCCAAGAGGCAAGCAGTTTTAGTCAATTACTCCCTCCGTCCATTTTTAATGTTCGGACTTTGACTTGGCATGGAGATTAAGGAATGTAAAATTTTACATTGACTTTCCAATTATGCCCTCCCCATTTTCTACCCCAACATCCTATCACCCATCACTCTCCAGGCCCAGACAACGTCTCCTTCACCTCCCGATACTTCTCCCCCCTGCGGAGCCTTCTGCCGCAGCCATTCCGGCTTCTTGACACTCGGATCTCTTCCGGTAAACGGCCCCATTCCGCCGGGATAAGGCTGCGATTTCGCCTCCCTCTTGTCATCATCCGTCGATTCACGGCTGATTGCCACTCCTCCACTAGCAGATCTGGGTCTTAAACAAGAAAAAGAAGCAGGCGAATTGCAGAGACTTTGATTGCCGCTGCTGGAACCGTTGCTGAAGAGAGGAGGACAGGTCGGAGTTCTGGAGAAACGACATTGTTGAATCATTTCCTTCTCGTTCTTCGGGCAAACCGATTCAACGATTGAAATCAGAGGGAGAAAAAAAAGAATCAAAGAAGAAGAAGATGAAGATGAAGATATCGGGTACCAGATCCGAAGGAAAATCAGAAGGGAGAAAAAAAGAATGAAAGAAGAAGAAGATGAAGAAGAAAAAATCGGGTACCAGATCTGAACGAAAATCAGAAGGGAAAAAAAAAGAATGAAAGAAGAAGAAGAACGAAGGAAAAGAACAGGGAAGGAAAGAAATGAGAGAAGAAGAGAGAAAAAAGAAAGAAAGAGAGAAGTGTGTGAGGAATGGTTGGCGAGAGGAAGAAGAAAAAGAAAGGAAAAAAGGATGGAAGGGTGGGGGTAGTTAAGTCTTTTTAGTATAAAAAAGTTTCCAAAAAAGGAAATAGAAACTTAATTTGTGGACGGATAAAAAAGGAAAGTCCGAACATTAAAAATGGACGGAGGGAGTAGTACAAACAACCATGGAAACATATTATAGGGGTACAAGTGACCATTCATTACTTATAAAAGCTTGTAGCTTGATCACGTTGACTAGAAATAAAAAATAGTACCTTACTCACACATTATCCTGTTGGGGAAGGAGTAGTGAATACATAAAAAAATATATAATAATAAGCATAACAGGTAACATGTATCAATAGGGGAAACATCTATTGAAACATAAATCTGAATAAAACACGATAAACAAATTGAAAGAACTTTAGCCAAGAAAAAAGTGATGCTAACCATTGATTCTTCATCGCCCTCACCAAACCTTAGGGCTAAATCACAGAGAGCTTGTGTAGTTGATTCGACGGTCATAGGCTCACCATATGAGAATCTATGGTTCTACTTATAGATTGCCATAATGGAAACACATAGTTAATGCATGATTAGCTAGAAATTGCAAAGATGCAAATCACTTTATACATTAATCTGCAACTGATAGGTACCTGAGTCTCCACTCTAGCATGTTCTATGAGTGTCCTTGCATCAGCAATTAACCCACTCATTGCACACCCGATATGGGAATCGATTTCCATAATTTTCTCCACACTGCTTGGCTCCTAAAATGTTGTGAAACGATACAAATGTCACATGAACTTTAAAATGAAAAGTTTGTTTAATTAATTGATAGTCCCTTCATCCCTAAATATACCCACAGTTTCTTTAACACGGACTCTCAAATTTGACGCTATTAGTTTCCCAGTTCCCACATGTAATTTCCACTCAGGGGTAAGGCCTAGCCCCCCTATTGTATCCCCTCTCCTTTTTTTAAAATAGTTTGCAGGGGTTCTCCAGTCCTTGCCCCCCTGATTTTGGTGGTTTCTACTGGTAAAAAAAATACCCACGATTTCTTTTTTTGTTTGTCCCAATATAATCACTCATTTCTCATTACACATTGTAATAACCTATACATCCATTCTCATTATAACCTTTCATCTTGCAGGAACTGCATATAATCAATTACGGGCTACTACTAATTATATTAATAATTATATCCAGTTTAGTAGAGTGTTGAGATACTCATGGTTACGCATTTAGTTTAACACTTCACCATTGTTTATCTGAAGGGTATTTACAGCTTACATTAATAACTTATGTTAGCGGCAGTTACAAGTCTATAAGTTGAGTCTACAATAGTCCAGCTACTAATGTTATCTAGATTAAAATATAATTATGGTTTCAAGAAAACGTAAAGATGCAAAAAGTAAAAAATATTACGGAGTACTAGTGAGTTTTACTAGTGTTGCCTTCTAGCATTAGTAGAGTTGCATACTTGCATCTGATGGCCAAAACACAGGTTAAACACCACCCCGTACGACCCAACTTTCTTTTTATTTTCTTCTCTCTGAGCAAGTGAGGAATCAGAATAGTACTCTTCCACAGTTCCTTGAAGCCAAATTCATACGTCGAACCTCACTTCTATAATTCAGGACTAACTTATTACCAAAAACACTTCGCCAGGTTCCAGTATAAAATGTATCAAAGAATATGAACGCCATAATAACTAAAGATCTAACTTCGGAGCATTAAAGAACAAGAATTTAAATAAAAAACCAGACCAGGAGTGGGGAAGTGATGCGCTTCTCAACAGCGATAACAACTCCTTCCTTTGTCTTTATCCCTATAGCAGTCGAACCCAGCTACAACACATCAAAAATCAAACCATAAAAATCTCCACTTCAGAGCTACTCACTTCTAAGCACTAATTGGTCCAAAGATCAATCCAAATTAGATTCCATTCAATTGGACAATACAAAGCACAGGAATACCTTGATAGCTTCAATAGCATATTCGACTTGGAACAGACGACCTTCAGGAGAGAATGTGTTGACACCTCTATCGTACTCCGTTCTTTACTCCATCCAACGAAAATACACAACAGAACGAAAAACAAACAGTTAAAATACTCAGATCAGCAATCATCAGTACAACGTAGATTACACGAAAAACCCTAGTCTGATAAAGTTTGTCTGTGAAAAAAATAAGAAATTGATGTTGATTAGCTTTTACCTGGTGAGAAACATTTTCAGTTAGATCAATCGGATCTCCAAAGCCGGAGGAATGCGAAGACGAGAAGAAAGATGATCTCCTTCAAGCTCGTCGTTTCTGGCCCAAAAGGAAAAACGGGTTAACGAGTGGGAATTGGGAAATCACTACACCCAGTCACCAAAACTTTTGACTCCAGATCCGAAAATAAGAATTTTGTTGTTGTTTTTTTTGGAAAATAAGAATTTTGTTATAAGTGTTTTTTTAAAGAGAAATTTACCTAAATAATACTAAAACATAATGACTTTCTCTAAATAATATCATATGTGTTTTTCTTCCCAATGTAGGACGTTTAGTCATTATTCAAGGAAATATTCATCATCAATGAACATTATAGACACTATTAAGTGTTATTTAGGGAATAAAACAGTTTAAGTGCTATTTAGGAAAATGATTTACTTGTAAGTTTTAGTGTTATTTAGTGCAAATATTTTTTTTAAGGATTAAAACATAAGTCATTTCTTAATAAAGGATTAAAACATAAGTCATTTCTTAATATATGATTTACATTTTTTTATTTTCTAAATAGGACATAATAATGTTTAGTGAGAGAAATAATATCCAAGTGATGACGGATATTTACTTGAATAATGATTAATGGATAATGACCAATGGTCTGAAAAATAAAAATATATAGTCTTATATTGAAAAAGTCATTATGTTTTATTTTTATTTAGGTAAATTTTCTAATAAAAAAATTGTTAGAAATCGGTCAAACCCAATAGAAATAAACTCTGTCGACCTGTTAAGGTAAAAAATTTAATATAGTGTGATAATAATAATGATGCTATAATTTTTTTCATATTCCTTTTTGAATATCAAGGACTATGAATATCTTACAATTGAAGACTAGACATGAAAGACCTTTTCAATAGGACTAGTTATGTAATTTATTAAAGGCAATAAGAATATGCATGTTTTGTAGTGATTAAATTCTTACAAAAATTGTTACTTTTATAAAAGAATCTAAGAGGATGTTTGGGATTCTTTATTTTTTGGAAGAAAGTGTTTATATTAACCACATAATTTAAAAGCAATTCAGAGTAGCTTTTAAGCTTGCTTTTCTGTTTCTAATGACACCAAAAACCATAATCTTACAAACATTCCAAATCGGTTTCAAAACAAAAGTTAAAAATTATTTTCAAAAACATTGACAGCTTTTGCTTTTCCATATCTAATACAATAAAAGTTAAAATTACACTCAGCTCCTAAACGTAACATTTTCGACTATTTCCATCTATCACCAAAGTGAGCATCTATTATATCCACCCATCTTCTTTTTATTGCTAAATATATTAATTATATTTATTATTCTTGTAATTATTGTGTTACCATACTTGTATAGGTTTCCTAAATATGGCTCTCCTACTATGATTAGGATTGAAGCCTCTACTATATATTGATGTATTCTCTACACAATTATTCAATGAAAATATTCTTTCTACATGGTATCGGAGCCTAAAAACCCTAAACCCTAATCTCCCAATTCTCTCTCTCTCGTTCGGCCTCTCTCTACCAGCGCCGCCCCTATCCTCGGCGGCCCTCCACCGGCGTTCTCTCCTCTCTCCTGGCGGTCCTCTCCCCCATCTCTCACCATGGCCGAAAATAGTGAAATCACTTCCCAAACTACACCCTCCACAACCCCGCATCTTGCTCTCACAACCATCTCTAATGTCAAGTTGCATGTTCCTGTCCAACTGAGTCTTTCTCAACCAAACTACAAAAAGTGGAGTAGTCTTTTTCTTCTCCTTGTTCGGCGTTTCAAACTTCAAGGATACCTCGATGGATCTTTCGTCCCTCTCTCTGACGACGACGACGAATGGTGCCAACTTGATGCTCTTCTCCAAGGTTGGATTCTCTCCACCATCAATGATGAAGTCTCAGATCTGGTCATCTCTTCTCTCACCACCGCCTCTGCTCTCTGGAAGGTCATTCACGACCTCTTTCATGATAACAAACATGCCCGCGCCATGCAGTTGGAACATGAATTTCGTACCACCGTCAAGGGCTCCACCTCTATGGCGGCCTATTGCCAACGGCTCCAAAATCTTGCTGATTGGTTGGACGACGTTGATGCACCGGTCTCTCAACACCAACTTGTTCTTCAGATGCTCCGAGGGCTTCCCGCAGATCTTCAAGGCCAGACCTCGTTCATGCAGTTTCAATGCCGAATTTTCTTCAGGTTCGCTCGGCTCTCATGCTCTTGGATCGTCAGCGGTCAAACCCTGCTGACCCCGGCAGCACGGCCTTGCTCACCACCCGAACCGGCGGGACAAACGGCGGCAGCAGCTCCGGTGGACAGCACGGCGGCAGCAGCTACGGTGAAGGCAACTCGGGACAGCGCGGCGGCTCTGGACGAGGGCAAGGACGTGGCGGCGGATATCGGGGTCGTGGACGTGGACGTCAAAACGGCTCCCGGCAACGACAAACCCATGACGGCAATACCACCTGGAACTCACCTAACCCAAACCCTAACCCTGGCCTCCTAGGCCCCCGACCCACACCCTACCCGTACCCCCCTCCCCACGCCTATTGCACCACCACCACACATCAACCCTACTGCCCTAGCCCACCATTTTGACACCCTATCCCTTCGTGAACCCACTTGGTACTTGGACACCGGTGCCTCCCATCACATCGCCTCCGACACACGTACTCTTTCTCATGTCTCTTCTTAATCTTTATATTCACCATTATATATCACTGTTGGTAATGGATCTAAAGTTAGCACTACGGCTGTTGGTAATCACACTATCCCTACTACCCCTGCCCTATCCCTTAAAAACATCCTCGTTTCCCCTCACATAACCCACAACCTTATTTCTTTTCGCCAACTTACCCGTGATAATAACTGTACTGTTGAATTTGATGCTCATGGTTTTTCTGTGAAGGATCGTCGGACGGGAACCGTGATGCATCGATCCAATGATATGGGACCCCTCTACCCCCTTGGCCGAACTGCACCTGCCCAAGCCCATGTCGCCGCTGTTGATCTTCAGACTTGGCATCGGCGTCTAGGCCATCCCAGCCAGGCCGTTCTCCGTGGCGTCTCCTCTATTCCGTTTTTTAAAAGTTATCAACATACTTTATGTCATGCGTGTCAATTGGGAAAGCATGTGCGCC